GGGGGGTGGATCGGGGCCGCGGGGCCCAGCCCCCACTGACGCCCGCTCTTTCCGCAGGAGACCGAGAGAAGGGGGACATGGGGCTGGGGGCCGTCCCCGGGAGGCAGGCGGCCTTCCGCGAGGGGCTGGAGCAGGCCGTCCTGTACGCCAAGGCTCTGGGCTGCCCCAGGTATCCTGCCCTGCCCCTTCGCCCCGGTAATCCGGGTCCTCTGCATTTATCTGCCAGTGTCGTCCTGTTGACCACTTGTCCACGCGCATCTCATGCCCAGTCCCATCTCGGTGACGAGGGAAATAGCAGGGGGGCGGGAATCCAGCTGGTGATCCATTCTAGGGCAAGGAAGCTATAGGTGCAGGGTCAGCACCTAACCCTTTGACTAGAACAAAAGCTGCTTCCTTAGCGCTTAAAGGCCTCACTTTCGGCCTGTACACTACTCTGGTAAGGATGCTGTGGCCAGGAGCAAGAGGAAGATTTGGGAGTTCCGCTGGAGAGTGGAGGGCTGGACAGCTGGGGTTAGGAGGACCTGTATGTCTGTTGTGTCTGAAGCTGGATGCTGAAACTGAAGATATAGGAGGTGATGGAAGAAAGTGGAAGTCTCAAAGTGGGAATGGGTAAACAAATGTCAGATTCAGCAGAGGTCAAATAGCTTTGTTGAGAAGAAACTGGCAACCAGGGGCTCATTGCTGTTGGTGAGTGGTAGGGACAGAAAACAGATCAGGAAGAAGCCAAGAAACCGATGCAAGGAGAGGAAGTGGAGGCAAGCAGGACACCATGGGTTCAAGGGCAAAGGTCAAAGTCATTTAAAAAGGTGAACCTCAAACATGCTCATAGGCTAAGAAGGACTAAGGGAAAGAAAGGCTGAAAGGTGCAGGAGGGGGTAAGGGATGGACTGAGGTCCCTTGGGCCAGAGGATGGGTGGGCTCTAAGGAAGCATCCTGACCTGGCTCGCATAGAAGTGACTGGGGTGGCTGGGAAGTCAGCATTGTGGCCAGGTGGTATGGACAGAAGACCTGGAGTAGCAGCAAGGGCTGGCATGGTCAGGGTAGTGTGAAGCCTCCAATCCCATTTTCCCCACAGGATACACTTAATGGCTGGCCGGGTACCCCAGGGGGCTGACCGAGGTGCAGTCAGGGGTGAGATGGAGACAGTTTTTCTGGAGAACCTGAGGCATGCAGCTGATGTTTTGGCTCAGGTGAGAAGTGGAAACATTTATGTATGTGTGTGTATATGCATGCACATGCACAAAAGGATGGAGTAGGGAGAGCTCTTCAGGCACTAGGTTGGGCACTAGTCCAGGTTAGAGACAGGTGGTGTTGGTAACTGATTGATGAGGATGAATGCATCCAACATGTTGCTAGGAGAACCTCGTGGGACTGCTGGAGCCCATTAACACCCGGATCACTGACCCCCAATACTTCCTGGACACGCCCCAGCAGGGTAGGACTCCAGCCCCATGCTGCCTCCTAGCCTTGATTCCTGTGCTCCCCTAGAGTCTCACAACCCCACTCATTGGGTTCTTACAGCGGCAGCCATCTTACAGAAGGTGGGAAGACCCAATCTCCAACTACAAATGGTGAGTAGGAGAAAGGGGGTGCTCAGAGAGCCCTATTTCCCAACCTGGGAAGAATAGTTGGGTCACCTGAGGGGTTTTACTGTACTAATCTCTTCCCCAGGACATATTCCACTGGCAGATCATGGATGGAAACCTGACAGGAAATATCCGAGAGTTCCTGCCCATTGTTGGTGAGAGGCAATTGCTCTCCTGGTCTGGTGCTGCTTCCTATGGTCACCCCCTCTTACATCCCCCTCCACTGTCCCTCAGGCCTCAGCAGTAGTCTAGGTCCCTTATCTCTCCACATCTGTACACAGGGCATGTGCAGGTGGCACAGGTCCCAGGTCGAGGTGAGCCAGACAGCCCTGGAGAGCTGTACTTCCCCTACCTGTTCCAGCTGCTGGAAGATGAAGGCTACCAAGGTTTTGTGGGCTGCGAGTATCAGCCTCAAGGTGAGGCTCCAGGTGTAGCCAGGGGAAGAGGATTGGAGGAACACATGTTGGACAGGGCTTTCGGTTGTAGGTTGAGATGCCACTCTCTTCCTCTCCACACAGGAGACACAGTGGAGGGTCTAAGTTGGCTGCGTTCATACTGGGATAGGCGAGGCCAACCACAGACTGGCCAGTGAGGTCCTGCAAACTACCTGAATACTTCTCTGGACAGTGAGTGAGCGTCTTATCTCTTCCTCTGAATTAAAGACAACCTGCTAAGCATTTTCATATGTGTATGTTATTGGGATAGAGGACACACAGTGTCTAATGCTTCAGCGTCTCTGGGTTGCTTTCCTCCCATTGAGAAGGAACACATAGCTTATACTCAGATCCTCCAGCCAGAGCCAGGACTCCTGCAGAGACCAGAGAGTTGAGCCCTCCTTGTTTACAGGAGAAGAACCAAGGGTCCAAGAGTACAAGGACTTGACACTGGGCTCAGGTGCTTCAATGGCAAAGCTAGGATTGGAACCACGGTGTCTTATGACGATGGCAATGTCCAGCAGTGATGTCCAAGTGGAAATAAAGACTAGACGGCCAACTGAGAGCAGGTGGCTAGCAGTGACCAAATACTGTGAGGCAGGATTCAGGCTGAGCTTTTAACGGATGAATGCTTGCCACTTGATTCAGAGAACTCTCTGGATCCCACTAGGACGACAGGAAAGAGTAATCTACTCTGGAAGGGCCCAGGGGCCTGAGAGGGAATGGGCGCTTTGGGAGTTGACCCAACTCTAGAGTCCTGGCTAGTAAGTTGTGTTCTGGGAGGGCAGGCTCCAGCAGTGAATCTCAGACATTCACAGATCGTTGGGGTGTCACTTAGTGCCCGAGTTTACCCTGTGCCCCAGAAGAGCTGATCAATCCTGCCTCAGATAGACAATCTTATAGATCCATGCTTTGGCGAATAGTGACTCAGTGGTCACTTCCTCAGAGGAGGCGGGTCCAGAGGGTGAAACATGCTGTGTTGATGACGGACTCCAAGTGGTGGTAGGTGGACACCAGCTGGGCAGGGGGGCTGTCACTGTCCTGGGGCTGAACTGGGAAGGGCTCTCTGAAAACCACCGTCAGAGACTATGGGAAAGACAGTGAGAGTGCAGTGGTGAGAGAACAGGAAACGGCTCAGGAAGAAGGGGTATCCCCAGCCTCAGCAGGGAGAGCTGTGGTGTAGTCTCCCATGGGTCTGACATGAAAGCCCCCCACTTCCTGTTCTCACCGTCTTTCCCAAGTGGGAGTCCAGAAACACTAGCACAAAACAGTCGGTGAACTTCTGATTCAGTACAACCTGCAGTGACAATGAGATGAAGAGAGCTTTGTCTCACCTGAGGAACAGACTGTCTTGCAGGGCTTCCTGTCTGGATGGAAGAGCCCACCTGCACTCCCAGGCTACTCAGGACTGTGCCTCCAAACCAAATCCCAGTTAGCCTGTTACAGCCTCCTCAGATTGGTCCAGGACTCTACAAGAGCCTGCCACACTGAAGTTGGTCAAAGAAGAGTTCTTTACCATGGGTACAGTGCTCTTCTTGCCTCTAGGCTTCACTCTGTGCCGCCCACACCTGCCTTGAGCCACCCCCCCCCCCACTGTCCCCTTGATGTCTAAGTGTTAGCTAAAGCTTGGCTCTGGGATCAGCTCCCTGGGTGGTTTTGCCCCTCCCAAGGCATCAGTACCATCTGTTCATATAGCTGCTGCTTAGGTCTTTCTTGTGCTCTGATGTTCATAGACTTTCGAGACAGTGAACATCCTTGCAGGCTTCACACTTAAGTTACTCTGAGCAGAATACACGGCTCTTTCCCTAAACCTGCTTGGTTTCACCTACACCACTGTAGTTCTGTCTTAATAGACCTCAGTTTACCTGGATGACCTGTTATACCCCACAGTTTTCCCTCTTATACCGTTTACCATGGGACCACATCACCAGAGTCCAACTTGTACTTTCTTGCCTGAATGTCTCCTCTTTTATGCCTCTTCTGAACCACAGAATTCACTGTGCCTATCTCTTTCGTCTCTAGTTCCCTGTGTGCTTGCCCATCATCCTGTTACTGAAGTGCTTTCCTCTCTGCTTGTCCATCAGAGCTGTGTCTTCAAACTCTACAGATGCCCAGATCACCTAGGGACATTGCTAAGACAGATCCCGAGTCATGTGGGATGGAGCCTGAACATCTGTATTTCAATAGGTTTCCAGGTGATGCTGCCACTGCTGGTCTGAAGACCAGGTGTTAAAACCCACGAGCTCCCTTCTGGGACTCCAATCTTTGTGACCAACCACTGCTGAAGTCCTGAGAACTCACTGGGTTGCCAATGTCAGAGGCTGTTTTCCTTCAGGCTCTTTAGCCCTCAATTAGGAGCTTTGCTCTCAGTAAATCACAAACCAGGAGTTGATGCCCAGTGCTCTGACGTTTTACATATATCTGTGGAGTTTTGGGCTGGAGGGCAGAGCTTGTTTTGGGGCTCCTTGAGAGGGCTAGCTGTGAACTCTGATGAAGATGTCTGCTGTTTCCCTTTTCAGAGTAGGAGTAAGGGACTTACCAGGTACTGAGTTCCCAAGTCTGGGCTCTGGAAATGGCGGCAGCTCTGGGGGAAGCGGCTTAGGAGAACTTTGATCAGGCTCTGGTACCAGGAGACTGTCATAGACAGGAAGCAGTCCTGGAAGGAGGGGAAGTGTATGTCATAGGCCTGGGTTTTTCTGTCCCAGAGTCACCTGGACTCCTTTACTCTCCACTGGCTGCCTGTGACATTCCTGGCACCCTTCCAGCCCTTACTACAGTCCCTTACCAACTGAGGGTCAATGTCCCCAATGGATTTGGCATGGACTGCTTCCAAGAGCTCCTCCAACTCTGCCAGGGCTAGGCGTCCCCCCAGCCTCAGCCTGTCAGGCCCTGGTGGCTCCAGCAAGAAGAGGCGCTTCCAGAGGGTGTCCCGACGGCAGTGACCACCAGCCAGCCGGACAAGCTGAGCCAGCCGTGCCCGTGCCATGCCCACCTCTGCAGCCAGTGGTGGAAACAGAGGAGCTGGCCCAGGGGCTGGGATAAGCCCCGAGGCCTCCCCAGGGGTGCTGGTTGCACTCCCAGGAGCCTCTGGCTCAGGGGGTAGTCTGGGTGGCTTTCGGAACCTGCGCATGTCAGCAGTGAGTCTGGGGAACAGTTCTCGTTGGCTGGTGAGCACCACGAAGAACTGTAGCCTGGGGTGGAGGAAGAACATGAGAGTAGGCACAAGGACAGGGCAAGAGCAAGGGGCGGGCTAGAGTGGACTCGTAAAACTGCAAACTCGTAAGGCTGACCGTAAAACATGCCGTTCAGCCTCTCCTTGCTCCTCAAAGGGTGCAGCACAGTGACAGACCAGCAGTGACACATCGAAGTCATCCTGATGGCGAAGTCCCTCGGAGTCCAAGTAGGAGCCAGAGCTGTGTAGTGGGGGTGGAGAGGATTGAATTCTGAGGTTCTAATGAAACCAGCTGTATTCTTGCCTACTGCCAGTGTGGTCCTAACCTCAGCCCCACCAGACTGTGTGCTGGATGCCCCCTCTCAGCCTTACCTGTGCCATGCAGATACCAGGGCATACTCATTATGTTCTGGGCCCCCTGGCCGGGCCATGCGCAGTGGCTTCATGTGGTAAGAGCTGGCATGGTCAGCCACATAGTTGTATAGTTGGTGGGCAGCAATGAGTGGTGTGGGGAGCTCCAGTGTCCCTAAGGGGCAAGTTTCAGGACACAGACACTAAGCCTGGGACAAGTACCTTCACCTGGAAGGGCAGGGGCTGAGAGTTGCTTAGCTTTCTTAGGGAGATCCTGAGGAACACTGGGATGAGATAAAAGTGGCTGAGATTAGAGGACAGGGTATGCGTGAAACAGGACCTGAATTCTGATATAAAGCCATAAAGAACTTAAGGCACAGACACATGGAAGCATAGGAATGGGATGGGTGATATGAGTGGTAATGACTGGGGACTACTTGCCCAGGAGCTGATCCCACAAGCCCTGGCCTGGAGATACCTCACAATCATCTTTTTTGGTCCCATGGTGCTTTGGGCACTGACCTTGGTAAATGTGATTGCGGCCAAAGTGGGGTCCATCAGGGTGGTGGGCCAGGAAGTGTCTCAGGAAGGTAGTGAGGTGGTAGCCGTGCCGCAGTACCAGGTGGGTGCCCAGCACATGCTGGTGCACTAGGCGCAGGTGGAAGTCATAGCTGAAGGAGTGCACATGCATCAGGTCCCGCACCTTGTCACACTCCTCTGTGAACAGCATGGATAGCTGGGGACAGACAGCAGAGTTAAGCTGTAGTAGCACACGCTGCCTGATGCACACTTCCCTCCTTCCAGGGAGAAGAGGAGCTTTGACAGAGTCCTGTTTATACACAACTATGCACAGACTTGCTCTTTGTTACACTTTTTATTGCTGTGTTATAACTATTTACACGAATCTGGAATCATTTTAAATAGTTAGGCCTTTTTACCCTGTATGTCAGATTCTACCAGAGTCTGACACAGACTCATTGCAGCAAATGTCTGCCAAGTGTGCATTAGGTATCCACTGGTGGCTGGTCACAATTGGATGTACAGCGGAGAACAGACCATGGGCAGGGTAACCCAAGGAGCTTACAATCTAATTGTAGGAGACAGGACAATATTAGGTTGAATAAATGAATAATTACAAACTGTATTAGAAGATGATATTATAGAAAGTAAGATGAGGATCCAGGTGTACATTTCCTATTAGAAGACTTTCCCAGACACTTTCATCTCTTCAGCCTTGTCTGCTTGTTAAACTACCTGCGTTTCCCTAGGATAGCTCATATTATCTCCTCTGTACTTTGTACTCATATGCTAGTTGCCTAGAATGTGATCTCCCTCACTAGTACTACTATTATTTGGCAGTACTAGGGGTTTGAATTGAAGGCCTTGAACGTATGAGGCAGGCCCTCTACCACTTGTGTTATACCTCCAGCTGTGTGTGTGTGTGTGTGCGCGCACACACACACACAAATGGGAGTGTGCACCAGTCCTGAGGCTTGAATGTAGGGCTTGGGCACTGTCCCAGAGTTTTGTTCAAAGCTTGCACTCTGCCACTTGAGCCACAGCTTCATTTCTGTACTTTCAGTAATTTATTGGCCCTAAGTAGTCTAGTGGACTTTGGTGCCTGGGTTGGCTTCAAACTGCAATCCTCAGACAGCCATCTGGTACTGGATTTGTGCTGTCCAAACATGGAGAGCTCCCCACGATGAAGATTATGAGATCTCACT